ACTGCACACATGACAGTGATTGAGGATACTATTACGAAGATGGTTAAAGTCACTTATTGCAGTCATCATAGTAATCACAAACCAGAGGTATGTCATTTGAGAGTACCTGATAAAGTAAAGAATGCTGTTGCAGCTAAGCTAGCTGAAGGAGTAACAATTGAAAGAATACTGGATGATATTAGAGACAGTGTAACTGGTACTATTGAAAGGGAGCATCTTATGAATCGTCAGGATGTTCACAACATTGAATACAAACTTAATCTTCAAAGTATCGAGAAACATCAAAATGATCATTCAAGTATAGTAGCATGGGTTACTGAAATGCAGGAAATGGAATGTCAAATGAGAATGATCATGATAACATCGATACAACAGTAGTAGCTGAATCACCAATTGCAGATCTATCCACAGATCACTCAACATCTTTATCACTTACAGAACATTCTACACTAGCACCAAATGAGGATGCTGTACAAGAAGAAAATCAGCTTGCCTATTATTCTAGACTTTTACAGTCAAGGAAAGAAAGTTCACTTTTAGAAAGCAAGGAACTGTTTCGGAGGAAAGTTTCAGAAATGCAGATTTTAATGGACTCATGTAATGATATCGATACGATTTCTTCTGTGGTTTCACATTTGTCATCTGCAATTTGCCTTTTAAAAGCTGAAAATTTGCGTGACAAAAATAATAGAGAACAAGTTTTGCCAATTCGAAAAAGGCCAGCGCTACCAAATTCAAACAGTGAGAAACAATTAAGGTTTCGAAGTACTAAGAAGAAGAGGGTATCGTTATCAAGATGGGCTAAGCCTACTGCAGAGGAGGAGAAGAGAGCAAAGGAGAATATGTTAATGACGTCAAACTCGATTGAAGTTTGTGGTGTATGTCTTAAAATAGATGATCAAAATCAAGAGGATGTAGTTGAGTGGATAGAATGTGAAAAATGTAATTTATGGGTACATGTAGCTTGTTCACATGACAATGTGTGTGTGCATTGTATGAAGATCAGAATCTAACATTAAACCTCCATTTTTGTTACCAATACTGTCTTTATAGCTCTGTCTCTCTCACTCACATCAATTATGAGTTATAACATTAATTATTTTGCTTGCACTGTATTAATTATCAGTTGTAACATTAATTTTTTGCTTGCACTGTATTTTAGCCTAGATAGTAATAACTATTGTGTAAAATTATAACTATAGTAAAGCACAGAGTCAATAATTACACTCTAAAAAAGTATTATATGTTATGGTTGTGGATAAATGTCTTCACTTGTATGACTTGTCTTGATAAACATGATCATTGTAAAGAAAAATTATCTTGATTTACTAGCAGCCATAATCCACGTGCTAAAACGTGAGAGGGTGTGGTTAATAATGGCCACACCCTAAACTACAAAGATATGCGGACTTTTACTAATGGCTAACGTACTGCAATTAATGGCTAGTAACTTACCTCCCATCGCCATTTTGTTAATTAAAGAAGCATGTGCTCCAAAATTTGGGTGTGGTCGCGCATGCTCAGATCTCAGAACTGGGAAAAGCAATCAATGTTTTAACCTAGCTAGGCTAGCTATGCTTGGAGTCAATTGCATTATTTAGTGGAGGTTTCCAGCTAAAAGAAGGTATTAATCTTACATATTATTCTTTTATCAAGTGTTTAATGAATTATTTTATTTAAAAAAACAATTATATAATGTTATAATAATGCAATGATTATGACTTTGACATCAGGAAGAACAGGAATAGATAGCTAGGGAAGATGGAGCTTCTTGAACAAGGATTCAAGTCAAGACTATAGTATTAATTTTACTTGTCATCAGTATAGTAGATATTCCTTCAGCATATCTATTTAATGCTGTGACTGCTGTCTCTCATAAATGCTGTAAAGTCATAACAATAATAAAAAAATTACTGTTTGTATAAAATCAACAAGTATCACAATTGCAACTAAAAACATATTATAAATATTATAAAAAAATCAACACAAACAAGAACATAAAAAATTTAAAAAAAACA